CTAGGAGCGGCCGCCGCCCGGCCCGGGGCCGCCCAGCTCACAGCGCCCCCTGCAGTGCGGGGGGACCTGCCGGGCGCGCCGGCCCCGCCCCCGGCCCCCCGCCGTCCGCAGCCTCCTCCAAATCTGCCCATCTTCAGTCTGGTCGGACGCGCTCGCCAAAGGGCCTCCCCAAGCCACAGGCTGCTGCCCTGAAGCTTTACCCTCCGTGTACCCTTTCAGGACTTCCCTGGACACTCCTACCCCAAGTTCTCTACCCTCTAGTCATCCAGAATTTACCCACCCGACCTCCCATACTGACCCTATTCTGACCATCCTGTCACCCAAACTATTCCCATCAAGTGCCTCCCCAATGACTGGCTCTTATCATTCAGAGTCTCCTCACCTCAAGATTTGTCCATCCCTCCCAGAGACCCCTCCCCTTCCCCCAATGGACCCTGTCCTGTCACCCATAGACTCCTCAACCCCAAGACTTCCCCACTCTTTTCATCTAGAGCCTTCCTCACAAACCCTCCAACCTACCCCCAGCCAGCCAGGTTTCTCACTGTAAAGTTCCTATTTTTCCCTTTGTAATTAATAATCAATCTGTGGGGAGATACTTTGAGACTGTGTGAATACCCTGGTTTCGTTTGGGAGGATGGAGAGCAGGAGAATCATGAGAGTCCTGCCTGAAGGGACAGGCTAGGGGTTGGGCATGGACTGAAGGTGGAGCAGCCAACCAAACTTTGGCCTATTTTATGTTGCCTTCTAGGCCAGAACTCTCTTCTCTCTTTGATCTTCTGGGCCGTTCTTTTGTCTTGCTTTCCCATCCCACATCCTTTATCAGCGGAACTTCTTCACTCAGTCCAGGTTGCTCTGATTCCAATCCTTTTTCACTTTCTATTTTCTAGGTGAGACCTTGCTTCCTCCTTCTTAATGTAGTTAAGAGCACAGACTATGGAGTCAGATCCATCCAGATTTGAATCCCAGCTCTGCTACTTACAAGCTGTGTGACCTTGGGCTAATAACTTAATGTCTTGGTGCTGTAGATTTTACAGCATGAAGATAGTAATGGCAGGGCTGGCTGGGTGGTGTAGTGGTTAAGTTCTCATACTTCAGTGGCCTGGGGTTCACAGGTTCGGATCCCAGGCGTGGACCTATGCACGCCGCTCATCAAGCCATGCTGTGGCGGCATCCCACATACAAAATAGAGGAAGATGAGCACAGATGTTAGCTCAGGGCTAATTTTCCTCAGCAAAAAGAGGAGGATTGGCAATGGATGTTAGCTCAGAGCCAGTTTTCCTCATACACACACACACAAGCAGTAATGGCACCTACTTCACAGGGCTATGGAGAGAATTAGACAAAGTAAACCATGTAAAATACTTAGAACAGTGTTTAGCAGATACTAAGTGTTCAACATTATTATTACCAGACCCCGGGCCTTTCTCCTATCGCTTTGCCCTCCTTTAGACCACCACACGCCCATCTTTCAGTTCCTTCCACCCTCCAAGCTTGGCCAAGACCACCTCCACTCCCTCCACCCCCACTTTCCCACGGCTGACTCCTTTTTCCTCTTCAAGTCTCACCTTTAAGTTCACTTTAAGTGTTAGAGTTGATACTTCTCTTATCTCAGCACCCTATCTCCATCCTTCAGAAAACTGCCTATTGTGTAATTATTTGTTTGTTTCCTAGGTTATTGTCTGCCTCTGGCGCTGTAAAAACAGCCTGAGAGAGAGGACAGAGTTGGGTGTTTACCATTGGCTCACCCAGCATTTGCCTCAGTTGGAGGCTTTAAACAAATACAATGTTACCCCACAGATCACCTATTAATTTCAAAGGGGAGCCTGGAGGTCACCACTTTAACCATGAATCAAACTTAACATCATCAATAAGGGGCCAACAGACCCTCTGACGTGAGGCACCAAGAAGGGATGCAACATTTGCCAAAAATGCTTAACTTGAATCTAATCATGGAAAACACAGACAAATCCAAACTGGGGAACATTCTACAAAACAGCCTGAACTTTTCCAAAATGTCAATGTCACAAGAAAAAACAAAACAAAACTCTGGAGTAGTGTTCTTGATTAAAGGAGCCTGAGAGAGAGAACTAAATGAAGTGTCTAATTCTGGATTTGATCCTGGATGAAAAAGTAGGAAGGAAAGGAGGGATGGAAGGAGGCAGGGAAGGAGAAAGAATAAAGCTAAAAGGACACTATTGGGACTACTGGGGAAATTTGAATATAGGATGTACGTTCCATAATAGTATTGTTTCAATGTTAAGTTTGGTGAGTGTGGGGATTATGTTGTGGTTATGAAGGAGAATGTCTTGATCTTAGGAGTTACATGCCAAGTGTTTAGGGATGAAGTATCATAATATCTGCATCTTACTCTCAAATGGTAAGGAAAGTCTCCAGGAAAACATGGGTTCCTGAGAGCACGAGCATCCATGGGGAGAGCGGAGTAATTAGGGAGAAATGTTGACAATTGGAGACTACGTGAGCTTGCAACTTTTTGGTAGATTTGAACATTTTAAAAATAAAAACTGGAAGAAACTAAATAAAGCATTTGTGGAATAACTGGACTTTACAATTTAATTCCCAAACACACAGACCTCCCTAAATCTCTTTTACTAGAGAAGACACAAACATTCTCAAGCTCTTAATGCAGCCTTAGGATTTCTCTCTGACAAGTCTCTGTAAACTAGTCTAGACCAGAAGTTCTTTTCTTTTTTTTTTCAGGGAAAGATTCGCCCCGAGCTAACATCTGTTGCCAATCTTCCTCTTTTTTTCCCTCCCCAAAGCCCCAGTGCATAGTTGTACATCCCAGTTCTAAGTCCTTCTAGTTCTTCTATGTGAGCCGCTGCCACAGCATGGCAACAGACAGATGGGTGGTGTGTTCTGCAACTGGGAAGCGAACCTGGGCCGCCGAAGCTGTAAGAGTGCTGAACTTCAACCACTAGGCCATCAGGGCTGGCTCTAGCCCAGAAGTTCTTAATCCTGAGCCTTGGATGAGCTTCCTGGGTTTCAGGAAACCCTGACATTGTGTGCAAAATTTGTGGTGTGTGTCTCTGTGTGTGTGTGTGTGTGTGTGTGTGCGCGCGAGCGCACGCACGCATTCTTTCCTCAGCATCCATCAGATGCTCAAAGGACGCCATGACCCAAAAATGGTTCCAAAGCACTGGTCTAACTACTAGGACCAACCCTGCCTGGGGCCCCGTTCCTCACCTCCACCCTGGTGCACCTCTGACCCCACCCACCCTCCCTGCACCTTCCTCCCATCCCTCACCACCTAACCCACACCCATCTCACGTAACCTGCTCCCACACCTGCCAGGATGCCTCAGGATTCACCCACACATCACTCTGGTGCAACGTGCTCCTGGGTTTGGCTGACACTTCGCTAACTCTGCCCTAAAACCTGCAGTCAGTCTTCCCACAGCCAAATGGAGTATGTTTTTACAATTTGTTAGTAGGTAGGTTGGGTACCCCATGGAGTTGGCGGAGACCCACCGCCTCTCTTTCCTGCCAGCCTGTCAGGCAGCATGCTTGGTGTAATTAATTAGATGGGCAGTTGGAGATGGTACCAATGCAACCCTCGCTGAAGGAGTGAGTCTCATTGGATATGGAGAGGGACAGGCTGGTGGCTCTGCAAGGGTGGGTGACAGGGCAGGGAGGTTCAGTAAACCAGAATC